GTGATAAAATATCCTTTGTTTATTATGATAACATGGTGGAATAATGAGGTATCTTGATTAATCAACATTCTCCTCAATAGAGGTATCATATATCTCAAACAGTGATAAACAGTTTTCAAAGAATTAGAATATAATGAATTCTATGACATGGCATCTAGCCAAGACTTCAGATTGGTAGCATGTGGAAGAAAATTCCATTTAAAAGAGATTCTCAGTGCTAGCTGCATGTTATAATCACCTGGGGAGCCTTAAAAAAAATACTGATGTCCAGGTTCCACTCCAGACAAGTTATATAAAAATTTCTCCATTTCATGGAGGAGTAAATAATTTTCATTAGAGTACTTTGTACAAACACACTGAGAAATCCCACAGTGCAGGCAGTACCGGCCGCATTCTTGGGCCACAATCTGCCCACTCACTTACAAGGAGTTCTTGTCAGGGCAGAACCTTCCATTTTCCTTTGTTTAATGTTTACTTTGACTCCCATTTCATCTTCAAAATAAAGGAACACACAGTCCTTTGTCTGGTAAGGCTGTAATTGTCGGGTTTCACTAATGGATGCACCTTTGTTCTGGACTCCAGTTTGCCTGATTGTGGCCATCATCCCACCACCCAAACCAGAAGTGGGAAATCTAGTCAGCTGCCGTTTAATATCCTGCACCAAGATGACATTCAGATTTTGGCTCCTGTTTCATTAACAGAGTTGATCAGTGCTTCTACTGAAAGGCCCTGGAAAATTCAAATTATTACAGCCACCACATCCTCACTTTGACTTCTTGGATGCTAGAAAAGAAGAAAAAGGAAGTAGCTAAGGTTGGTAAGATATCCAGTTGTGTGTGTGTGTGTGTGTGTGTGTGTGTGTGTGTGTGTGTGTCCAGAGGGTGCCAAGAAAACGTATACACATTTTAAGAGATGTTATCTATGTATTACTTTTCAAAGTTGAATTGAATTACGGTAGCAATGTATAGTATGACGTTCTCGCAAAAGATGGCGTTAATCAAATGAATGCTAGCGTCATGTTACCGGTATATATTGAGTATTACAATTTTAGTACAGCTTTTTCCTTTCTTAAAATGTGTATACATTTTTTTGGCACCCTCTGTATTTTAAGGAAGTATTTCTAGCTCTATAATCCTACTGTGAAAGCATCTCAATGCCCACTCAGATTAAAAAAAAAAAAACAACACTGCAGAACTTCAAATACCACCTTCGAGATTTGTTTGTGTCTTCGTTTTTAATGCATTCCAGTCTAGCAAAGTTAAACGACTTTATTTCCTTTAGAAAATATGCATCTATCTTCCAAATAAAAGTGGACAATTTCATCAACTGCCTAGCCTAAATAAGACACATTCCCTGCCTTAGGCAGCCAATCCTGAAACTTTATGAAGAGCAATTTAAAGATAGTGACCTAAAACACTAATCAAGTTAGACAGGAGAGCACTCTCATTTTGCCAGAGAAACAACAGACAGGTTCAGACTACATTTGAAGAAAGCAGCTCCGTGAGTGTTAGGCGCTTGATAAGCCTCATCACAGTAGGTTTTAGACAGGAGTCTGATAAAAAGCGATTCTGCCTGTCAAGAACAGTAAGCAGAACTGACCCTGGAATGGAGACAACTTTTCTATCAGATAAACAATAAGCAGCCAAGTAACAAGATATTTATGCAACACCATATTTTTCTTTTTTTTTTTTTTTTAGCAAAATGATCAATCTCTGCCATTGCACAGTTATTCCTGGTAGCCTCTCCGGTTGGAGCTGTGCAAGAGGCAGAGAATAAAAGATATGCCCCAGGTTTGTTCCTAATATGCAATGAATAGGGACAGCAGCCCCATGGATAAAAGATATACCAGTGTCACACCAGAATTACCTGACAGTCTAGCAAACAGCAAAGCCCAAGGAATTGTCTCATAGTCACAGGTCCAGGGCAAGCTGCCTCAGGATAATTCAGTATGTACAAAAGTATTCAGAAAGTAACTCTGGGTACGTACAAGGTGTGATCACAAAATACAGTGCATGTTTAAGTTAAAAAAAATTTATTACAGTAAAAGACACACTGCCATTAATCCCCCTCAAAATACTCCCCTTTGCTTCGAACACACTTAATTCCATTGTTCTTGCCACTTTCTGAAGCAGTTCTGGAAGTCCTCTTTCATGAGTATTTTTAGTTGCGCTGTCATGGCTGCCTTGATGTCCTGAATCGTTTTGACTTTCGGGAAGAGCCAGAAGCCGCATGGTGCCAGATCTGGTGAATAAGGTGGATGAGGAAACACCGTAATGTTTTTATTTGACAGAAATTGCCATATACCAGAAGTGATGTGTGACATGGAGTGTTGTCATGATGGAGGATGAAATAAAGACACTCACAAAAGAGGACTTCCAGAACTGCTTCAGAAAGTGGCAAGAACAATGGGATAAGTGTGTTCAAAGCGAGGGGCAGTATTTCAAGGGGGATTAATGGCAACGTGTCTTTTACTGTAATAATTTTCTTTTATTTAAACAATCACCATATTTTGTGATCACACCTCATATATCTATCATTGAGAAGAACGCCTTTCACAATATTTTTCACCCAAGGTTCTTTGCCAAGCTTGTAAAGGGGACTATAAATCGTCAGGACTACCATGATCCCATAGCTGATGTTGCTAACTGCATATGACTCTTTCAAGAAGTTTACACTCCCTGTTACAAGAGAATTGTGCTGCTCTTCTAGAGGAAGTTATTGACATATTTCCTAAGATTCACATGAGGAACTGAAAGCTTATAAAGGAATAGAGATCAGAAGAATAGGTCATTCCAGTTTGATTCAGTTATTAAACCAACTTAATTAAATCTGAAAATGTACTCTTTTTGTTTCTAATAGAGTAGACACTTGAAGAATTTGATTATCTAATCACCAGAGTACCTCCAAGAGTCCTCCCCTTTGACTCTGTAAACTTCGTTGGAAACACAAAGCCTAACAGTAAGGTGTAGGGCACAGAGAATTCAATATATGGGATAGAAATAATGCACAAAAAAACACCCCATCCTGGTTTCTGCCTGCGTTCCATTACTCCTTGTTAGTGGATGGTATATAGTGGGGGCAGGCGGTGGTAGGGAGGGGTTCGGAATCTGCAACATTGTATTTCACTCTTATGGATTTATCAACAGGCACTTATAATGCTACTTAAGATGCTCAAAGATCACTCAACAGGCATTCTTTAAAGTGCAAACAACCCAAATTTTCCATCATCTGATAAATGGATAAACAAAATAGGGTAGAGTCATACAAGGGAATATTCTTCAGCCAAAATAAGGAATGCAATATTGATATATACTACACCAGGAATCTTAAAAACATTATGCTGAGTTCAAGAAGCCAGACACAATCGGCCATGTGTTGGATGATTTGATTTATATGAAATGTCCAGAACAGGCAAATCCATAGAGACACAAAGTAGATTAGTGGTTGCCAAGGGCTGAGGAGAGGAGAGGAATGGGAAGTGACTACTAATAGCAACGAGGTTTCTATTTAGGGTGATGAAAATATTCTGAAATGAGTGGTGATGATTACATAGCCTTTGAATATACTAAAAACCACTGAACTGTATACTTTAAAAGGGTGAACTTGACGGTATTTGAACTTTCTCAATATCTGCAAAAGTCCTTCTTTAGTTCAGCATTTCTACTCTCCTTTAAGTCTCTCAGCTCTCAGAGGGCCTGCTTTCCCAGACTCCCCACATCCTGTCCTTCCATGCTGCCCTCTTTATGAGAGCAAGAGGCAGTGATGTTAAAGAAAGATGTAAATGCTCTTTCTGTTTTTTGTTTCCTCACATAGGAGGGAAAACGGAAAAGGTAAAATCAGGACTTCTAGCATAATCTCTGGCCACACAGAGTGAGGCAATCCATAATGCTCCTACTGTGACAAGTAGGTTGTCCAATCATCCTGGGGCAGCAGATACCATGATTTCGTTTTTTAAAGGGCAGTTTTTGCTGAGCTATTTCTTTACCTGCTACATTAACTGCCATGATGAACTGCCAACATTAAGACATTTATGGCATTTCTAGTCCTAACACTTTGGCTAGTATATTTTGAAGAAGATAAACCACTAATTCTTATCAAGATGCATTCACCTTATAATATAAGTAACTGTGCTCAGATATAAAATGACAGATGATGCTAGAGTACCAATAGTTGACTGTTCAAAATAATTAGGTCAGAATAAAAAATAAAAAAAAGTTGTTTGGCACCTTTTGGTAACTCACCTTAATGTTGACCCTAGTTCAGAGGCAAATAAGACAAGTCTAGAATCGTCAAATAGTTCGAAGACCCAATTTCAACCAATATTTTAGTTTTCTATCAGTGATCTACCAAAATTACTTATCAGAAGCAAAGTGATATACCAGATTTCCTTTCTTCTCCATACATTATCATTTGGGGACATTAAAACACAAGGGTAACTAGAGAAACAGAAGTCTAGAAAATCCACAAACTACACAACACTATATAATCATACTGTATGTGGATATTCTGTAAAAATAAAAAAAAACACACATCCCTAAAATATCTCAAGTACTATGAGACTGAAGTTTCCTATAAAAGAGACTCCTGGGGTATATTTCAAATGTGTTTTCTCAAAGCAATTAGTCAAGAATCCCTTATTCCTAAACCTGGGGCTCTGCATGAAAAATGAAAATCAACAATGTCCTACAACGTAATTTTAAAAACACATCATCTCCTTCCAATGCTTTTCTAAGGTAAGCATCTGAGAGCTAAGCAGATGTTCCTAACAACTGAACAGCTTTCTATCTTTTATAACCTAATTATTTGAAAAACACTATACGTACTTTGTAAAAACTAATTCTACTGCAAAAGGAGAAACTGGATAAATTCAGTTGCCACTGAATGGTAAGATTAATAGACTTCGTTTTTATCAGCTTCCCTGGCAAACATTTTTTTTTACCTAATTAGGCAGAGGATGATAATTAGTAGCTATTGTCATGCTATAAGTGAAGACTAAATACCTTAGTTGCTTCAAGAACTCAACATCAGAGTTGCTGTTAATAAGCTTGATGAACTCTTCATAAGAAGGAGCGTAGGTGTAGGCTCTCTTGTGATGTTCGTTCATCTGTTCTCTGTGCTCCAGCTGGGCAAGGAGCATCTGGTTAATGTAATCTGGATTACTAAGTAACGCCACTACTGGCTTCAAGACTGTGGGAAGAAGAAAGCACCACTGAAAAAGGTATTCTCCCTTAAATGAACTGTTTTTATATCATATAATTGCAACTACATTTGGAAAACATTTTTAAACTACCCAAAAGGGGAAACACACACACACACGGCTGCTTGTTCCAAGTTGTTAACAAATCTATCAAAATTAAGTACAGTAATATTTTTTCTTTTATTTCTTTTATAAGGTTCAATATGTTTTGTCTGCCAAAAGATGAAAATCAAAATTCTCCCAACTGGTTAAAGTGGACCTCAGGGAGGAAGCTGTTAAAAAGTCAATGACACTATTACAAATTCATTCTACTAACTTCAAGTTAAAAGTTCCCCCTTTCTCTGTGGTTGGCTGCATCAGCTAACGGGCACCACTGGCTGATCCTGAGATAATAAATGAGATATTCAGTTAATGCATATCAAATGCAATGTTATGTTTTTGAAATTTTGAGATAGGAAAAATTTCTCTTAAGTCATATTTTCTCCTATTTTTCTTATCTTAGCTAAGCATTTCCCTGGATATACTTTTTTCTAGTAATCACTCGTATATTGTATTACAGTTCCTTTTTTATTTATTCCAAGTTCACAAAATTACATATAGGCATTATCAGTGAATCTTGCAGCAAAGCTATTTTAAGTAAATGCACACTGGAGTTTGAGTATAGATATTGTTTCATTAATGTACATATTATTGGCCTGGATAACTCAAAAGCTATTCCAAAAGGGTGCCTCCCTATGGAGAGCACAGGGCTGGTTATCCTATGTCAAATAAATAACAGAATGTACTATGCATTTGGTAATATGTTATACAAAAATCTGTTTATCATGTATGTCCAAATGATGCCCTCTTTGAGTGACATTTAAAGTTAACATTTTGAAAATATTTTCATTCCTATATGCCCCCACAGTATTCAAGGTCCACATAGGTGTCGTATAAAGTGTTATCAATCACATCGGTATAAGCACATTCGTTTGCACAATTATCATCACATTAGTAATATCAATTACTCATAAAAGTCTACCTTTTGTTGTGAGAATTTCTGCAAGCATTATACGTAAGCTGAGAGACTGGATATCCTTTGAGGGGAGGAGACAAAACACCAGAACCCGAGAACACATTTGTAGGAATCTTACTTCTTCATCTGAGTTCCTCAAGCAAGCATGCAACACAAAAGGCCTCGGCTGTTCTTCTTGCCTAAAAAATTAATGAGAGAGAAAAAAGGACGGAAAGAACATTCTAGACATAATTCAGTTATATACCATTAAATAAAAAATCTTTCAAATAGGCAACGTGTCAGTTTCAATGACTGTGCCCACTCCTCAACAATATCAATAGTCATAATTTCCTCAATCACAGACTAATCTGGAAAAATGCAAATGCATGGCCTTTCAGGATTTGAAACCTTAAGTAGCATCAATAGTTATACATAACTCCTAAATCATAGCAATAATCCAGAAAGCTATGAGTATTTCTTTAACTAGATTATTTTTTAGGTCTTCTAGATCTCTGTTTAAACGTGTTCCATAGCTTCATTTTTCAAAGAAAAAAATTTAACAAAGCACAAACCTGGGGCACCAGCCAGCTTTCCTGCCTGGTGATCATGGGATTAAATCACCTACAGGTATTTCTACTGAAGAGAGGGGTCCATGATTTGATGCTGCATAATTTGATGGCAAATTGCCTTCTGTGAGGCTCCCAAGTATTTTCTAACCAGTTTTCCAACCCTGGTCACTGATTCCCAGACAGCAATGCCCCACCCCCCTCTAAGGAGCGTTAATTTAGAGGATCTGAGTGAAGAGGAGGGAAAGTAGAAGTTCCTACACCTCCTTTTCCCACAGTATCTTGAAAGCAAGTCAAGAAAGGCTGGAAAGACAATTTTTCTAGTATCTTCCAGATAAGAGGCAATGTTTATGGGCATCTTATAGTAATTACTGGCCAATGCTGGAAGGAAAATAAAACAAACTGAACAGATGGGGAGGAAGCATACTAGGTACGACACAGGAAATGAAGTAAATAAATGCATATTGGTGCCTTTATGGATAGTATCTCCCAGGAGTAAATTGTGTCTCTTTTTGCATGAGAGACTGAAGACTAGTTTCTAGAGTATGTATACTCAAAAAACAACAACAAAAAAAGGTTTCCTCTTTGTCTTCTACAACAAACTAGAGGAATTCAACCCTAACATGCAGCAATATTAACTGCAAGCCTTTGCACATATACTGATATATGTTGACTTTTAGAAAAATGGCACCTTCGATTATTTTAAACTCTAGCTATGCTGCCAGCTAGAGTTGATACTTTAATACTCACACAGTAAGATTTACATGATACTTCATCATTTCAAGCACTTTTAAGGGTAATACTTTGCTTTAAAATACACATTTGGTTAACATTTATTGGAGGTAATTGGCCAAAAAATAATCCACTTTTACGACACAGGCTTCTACTAATAATATCAAAACCCCTCCAAAGCATACACCATTCCTTCTCTATTCCAATAGAAGGCAGATAATAGAAGAAGCCTGGTCCTCAGACTTCCACGAATTCCTCTCCCTCCTAGAGCTAAGTTAGGGGAAAACCTTCTCAGCTGAGCCCAAGGCCAGACAGTTGATCAAACAAGCTTGGTCTCTGGGAAAAGGGAAAGGCGAATGCTTCCCTGGAACCCTCTGCCTACTCCGGGCAGGCTGTTCCCGTGATGCCGCCAGTGACTGGACATTGAGTATAGCTTCAGAAGCCAAGAAAGAATCACAAATCAAATGGCCTCTTCTGGGTCAGGAGATTTCCATCCAGCATCCTGGTGGTTATAGCCTTAATCCTGGCATCATCCTTCTTCTGTCAATCCTTCAATCAATTATCTGTTTAGACTGCAATTCTCACTACTTACCTCTGGGTTCTCATTCCTTGAGTGGGTAAAAGGACATTAACCTTTTGTAAATTTCATATGTATGCTATTACTTAATCTTTCCATCTACACCAAGAAGTAGATATTATCATCACCACTATATAGATGAGACTATTAAGGATCTATCTGAGTGGTTAGTGAATAGTCCAAAAATCAGAAGTAATAAACGGTAGAAGTAACTCTCAAGTCCTGTTCTACTCTCAAGTCCAGACTCTTTACACTACACCATAATCAGAGGTTGCACAAATGAAAGGAGCAATAAAGAAGGAAAATATGCAAATAAAAACATGATTATTTTTCCCCGTAAACAGCAAGCCAGTGCTTGACTGGTAAATCAAACACAGAGATTATAAGGAGACTACAAAATTAAAGATGCTATTGATTTAATAGCATAAAAACAATCATTTTTAGATTTTCCTGAAACATGCTGGAATGAGACAGATGGGAAAAAGGAAGAGGAAGCAGAGGTAAGAATTAAATGTGATCTGGATTGACTTATTAAAGCGGTAACAGAATGTCAGCCTGGGAATAAATACAGGCTGACCAGAAAACTGCCTCCACTCAATCGCCTAACAGAGGATGCATTGCTTCTATTAATGCAATTTATTATTCTCTTGTCTGATAGTGGCCAATTCAATTGGTGGCTTCCCAGGCTACCAAGTCATTTCGCAGCCAACGGACTTTGCATACTGATGGAGATTTCTTGGACGAGGGGGCACGTTTACCTGGGGTGGGCAAATACAGATCTGGTCATGAAACCTAAACACCTGTCTGCCAGGCTCATTGTGTGATTGTATAATAGAAGATGATGCACAAGCAGATATCAGCTCTCCAGGGTTCAACTCCAGGGCACAATCATCTATCTGCAAAATGCCAGTGACCTACTGGTACTTTTGCAAATATCCATAATCCCAGAGAACAGTGGTAGATTCTTTTTTTTAATAAGAATCATCAACTAGAGCCTCTAGGCATAGCTAGATATCAGTAAAATAAATCTACCCTTGGCATAAGTCAAGTAGAAGCCCAAAGAAAAGGAGTTTCTAAAACAGAATCAGTTCTTTGCTTCTATTATTCTGATGCTCTGCCTATAATATCTTTATATTATTCACAAAAGCAGTCATTTCAGAAGCTGGTAAACGTCTCAATGAAAAATATATTCTCATGTTAAAATTAGATAATCATAAAAATACTAACTTCTCTAATCACTTGCCCTCTCCCAAACCTAAATCCATCAGCCAAACTGAATAAAAACATTGATTTAAAATACCATCCTCTGTTGGACCATAATTTAAATACTTTACCTTAAAATGAGCTTCCACTGAATTCAAACAACTCTTTGACAGTATCTGCCAGGCAGAACTGTGGAGCACTTCATATAACGGATACCATAGGAAATTAGTGGGTGCTCCAATGGATTGCTGAACCCTCAAAAGGGAAGGCCAAAGCTTTTGAGACTCTAGGGAAGTCACCCACAAGTCCAGTTTCTCTCACTTTCCTTATTAGTTCACATGCCCCCTTACTGGAAGTTACTTTCTCTATAAACAGCCATTTTCAAAGGGTGTTCTGGACACTCCTATGTGTCCCCAAGACCCTTTCAGGGGGACACTGAGGTCAAAACTATATTCATAGTAATATGAAAATGTCATTTGTCAAAAGAAAGTGCTACCACTGATCAAATCTGGATCAATTTCAGCATCAAAATAAATTTACAAAATGTCATTTGTCTTTTTCACTCACATTCTCACAAGCACAGTGGAGTTTTTCAGAGGCTACAAGATGTGTGATGACATCAGCGCTCTGATGGCTAATGGAAAGTGTATTGTGTATTCCTGCACTTTAAAAGTTTTAGTTTTAATGTCTAATACAGTAAATAGTGATAGATACAGTAAATGGTGAGCTGGTAAATGTTTAACAACTGGCTCTCCAAAGGTAAAGAAAAGCTCTGATTTGTAGCATTTACCCATTTCACAGTGTAAACACCACCACCATGGCCAATTACAAGCTAACAACATAGTTATCACTGAGCTAAATTATGAAGAGATGTGCACAGTCGGCTCTTGCAGGACAAGCTGGCTCCAGCACTCCACTAGATAAACAAAAGCTCTGTTAGGTTCTCAACCACTTGTAAGAGTACAAGGGGTTCAGATACCAAAATATCTGAGAACCACTGCTCTACAGTAATTTTTTTCAAACCATGGGTTGTGACCCACAAAGAACAAAATAAAACTTAGTCTCAAATGCCATTTTTTTTTAAAGTTAAAGTCACTTGTAATAAGGGTATTGTCTTACGAAATTGGGTCACAAAATAACATGTATTTCTTACTGTGGGTCAGTTTTTTAAAAGTTTGCAAAACACTGGGGGCAGCAAGTGAGAAAGTAATAGCCATGTGATGGCTCTGTGAATTTTGGTCTCATAAGTCTGTGCTAGGTAGGTGCTGGGAGAGAAGATGATTCCTGGGAAGAGGCAACACAGCTGAGAATGCACAGTGGCTGCTGCACGAGTGCGTTTAGCAGCAGGTCCCAAGGGTTATCACAGGGCGGAACAGGGGCTGCTTTCTGATAAGTTCACATGACAGGCCTTCTTAGAAGAGGATACGAGTTACCACCTACTCAGTAAGGATGCCAATGCTTGCTCATCCCCTTACGTATTTTTCAAATACTTTATCTCTTCCCTAAAGTAGAGGCAGAATACTGCCAGTCAAAATAGGCCAATTAACCGTAGGGAGCTGTGCTCCCACTCCAGCTGAGACCATATCCAAACAGGCAGGAGGCTACTCATTTCAGTAAGACTACTTTGTATGTACAAGTGAGAAGTGTGTAGTTCATCATGCCTGCAGTCACTCAAGAGTAAAGCATACATTTAAGATCCTACCGGCAAACCTAAGAAAGGAAGAATTATCAGCACAGAAATGGCCTTGCTGAAGTCTTCTTCCAAAGACAAACTCAATGTGATGATACAAAAGGCTGACAAGCCTAATATTAGCCATTTTCAAGTAGAAACATCTTCTCTAGTTATACCTCACAAGCTCCAACATTAAGTTCCTTTTAAAAATCAATTTCCAGGATACTGTGAGACAACAGAGCTCTTAACAGAGGACTCACAAAAAGAGACAAACTTTTTTTAAACTTTTCTAAAAAACTGTAAACTCACTGATACTCTTCATAGTATAAAACACTACTTAAATTTTCTTTTCTAGGTACCCATAATACTATAAATAAATTCATGATTGTGCTGGCCAGGTACAACTCATTTCACTGTTTAAGTTATTAAACAAGTTTATCAAGTGGTTTTCTATTAGAAAGTTATTTATAAAAGTCCATTACCATAACATTATAATTATCCCCCTCAATAATGTCTGCATTTCAAGCCAAGTGTCAGAAGAGGCAGGATATTCTAGAGTTGTGTCTTGACTTTGACCCCTCACTCAATAAGAAAAATACTTTTGCGTGAAGAAAGAGGGGGAGGGTTGTTCACATTCTAACAGTTACCTGGTATTTGCCGCTTTCAGGTCGCAGAAGTGAGTGAGCAAAGTTCTCACGACGTCATTGCAGACGACTTTCACCACATCCACATGGCTCAGTCTGTGGTGCAGCTGCCTGGCAATCTCCCAAAAGTCTTCCAAGAGCAGGTGGTAAAGCTGCCCCTCATCCCTGCTGAGGTTTCCATACCAGGACAGAATGTAATCTCTGTAACTGTAGTCAAACACTACCAGGAATAAACAAAGCAATCAGCAAAGCTTAGATGAAAGAAGCAAACACCAAGAAACAAAACAAGAGAAGTCATAACCTTCCCTAAAATCTTTCAAACTGAAAGATTCTCATCTAACTAGGAGTTATGGGGTGTGGTGACTTTGTGTCCTGGATCTCCTTGGACAGCCAATTCTTAAATATTCTATCTTGATGCCAAACTATCTAAAAATAAAGCATGTTACACAGAGGAAGTACCCTATAGAGTGCACCGGTTATCAATGTATTGCCTCTCAGTCCCAAATCCATCCTTTTTTGCCCTATGATACTGGAAGCTGGACCCTGTAAACATTTCTTTTTTGCCAGCTGGCCTAATGTGAAGTTTTGTCAGCAAAGGATGCTGGGATAACACTGGAGAAGGAGGGGGCTTCTCTTCCCGGTCTTTGAAAAATAAAAATGTCACTGGGCTTAAGTGGTAATTCCCCAAGGGACCAGAGGAAGAGAAACATTAGGACATGTAATCCTGTTCCCATTCAAGGATACCTGGGCTATTTTTTAATCACTGCTTATTTCTCAAGGTTTTTTCTTTCCTTTTTTAAACACCACTTGATTTGGCTTATTTTTTTATGTGACCATATGTCATTTCAGGTAACTAATTTATCCTTCTCCTTTGCTTTGCTTGTCTGCACACTAATTTATCCCCAGGAATCCTGTGGAACAAAATGTAACTTGGGATCCTGACCTACTTCACACCTGGCATACAAACAACTCACCCATAATTCACAAATAATTCTTTAGCCTAGTATTTGGTGCTGATTGATTCACCACAGCCGTTACATACCAAGTTTAAGTGTGTGGTTTTTGGGGGTTGTTTTTTGGGGGGAGGGGCGGGGGTTCTTGCTTTGTAAAAAACTGAGTAGCAAATGGAATCTCCAGCTTATGATTTGGTATTCAATCTACGTGAAGATTGCACATATCTGCAAAAGCCCACAGCTCAAAGGAAGCATCACTCTTGTTTTAATATCCTGTGATGGCTTTTTTCTCAGAATATCAACCATGAAAGTATATCCAATGATTGTCCATCTTTCCAAAATTTCTCAGCTTTATAACAACTTATAAAATAGCATCTTAAATCCCATAGCTCAAAAACATACATAGAGCATCAAGAATTTTGTTCACAGACATATATACAAAGGTTTAGATAAATCCTCAAAGTGATACCACTGGCCTCAGGTCATGCAGAGAAGATATTTAATATAACTGAGCCTTAGAGCTGAGAACAATTACTTTCTGAGAGCAAAGACTAAGGGGCAAGCTTTGAAAAGAAAAATGATTCCACCTCAGTCTTTCACTATTCATTAAATAAATATTTATAGAGTATTTCCAGTATGTAAGGTGGAATCAATATCCACAGAACATGAAAGAAAAGGCAAAATAAAAACAAAACCAACAAATGAATCATCTCCTAGGCCTTTCGGCAATTTTTTTACTCGCTACCAGATATTAACTTGAACAAACGGTTATGTTTTCTAGATTCTGCAAAAAGTAGCCACATCTCATCCTTAATTGAACTATTCCATTAAGAAGAAAGCACAAATGGTTTCTGACCCAGATGTAAGAAATTATGGCAAAAACAGAAATGGGCCAGTCCTATAACATCATTTACTGGCAACAAATAGAACAAATAGAACATGGTTCCTACACAGTAAATGAGTTTCATTCCCTCCACAAACTGAGGTTCCAAGCAGTGAAATAATTTGCTCTAAGCCAATGAGTGGCAAAGCCAAGTCTCCTTCCAATGAAACATTCTGTCTACTTAGCACACTGCAGTCGTGCACGAAAGTGGAACAAAACCAGTCACATAAGTCAGATATCAGAAATCTAAAATAGCTCCCTGTCCACTGGGTAGCCAGCTTGTTGAAAACATATTTGTATTCAAAAATATGCAAAAGGCTGTACTTTTTAAAATTGCTTTAGAAGGCACAAATAGGACCAATGGATGAAAGTCACAAGGAGGTTGTTTTTTATATTTATTGTAAGGAGGAAATGAATAAAAACATTAAAGCTATTAAAAGGTGGCCGCATTAGATGGTGAACATTCCATCATAAGAAACTTTTAAACAAGCTGGACATCCAGTGGACGAGGATGACACAGAAAAAAGTACTCCCTGAGATGGTGGGCTGGATTACATGACCTCCAAGGGCCCTTGTCTGCAGGGCCTTTATCCCTTCCTTCTGGACATTCCAGTGCCAAGAAGCCAGAGCCTAATGAGAGCTGCCTTGCCAACAAAACACTGCTAATTTGGTCATTTGCAATTCTCTCTCTCTAGCTCTTTCATTGAACTTAAAATTTACATGCCATAGAATTTTTAACTAGTAGCATATAAATCTACAGTCCAAAAGGCTTGGAAAACAGAAGTATTTTTCCTCTCATGAAAATTTAATTTCAAATTATCGCAGGAAATTAAGAGTAATTATAAGAGATTTAATATCTTTACGTATGATCTTTTCAGCATGCTAAAGGATTCATGTGAAGGGCATAGTCACCTACATAATGTCCCATCACATTCATTAACCACAATGCATTTGTAATTAATACAGCTCTAAAATGCTCCTCTGATAATACATTTTGGTTAGGAATCATTAATAATAAAAATGAAAACTGGCATAAACCTGTACTCAGTAATAGAGATATATGTTAGCCACCAGTATATCTTCTGTCAACAGCTCATCATCACCCCTCTTCAAGCTAAGAATCATAAAAGTCTAACAAATATAAAAAATACAAAACAAAGCCATAGATCTAAATATGCATTGCATAATTACATACACTCATTTACATAAGTACACACATGAACACAATATTTCAAAATATACCCTATGGGTCAATTCAAGTAAACAGAAATTCATGATCATAAAACTATATTATGGTCTTTATTTATTAAGAAATAAATATAAATAATGTAACAATCCACAATGAGAAATGAAAGAGCACTTATTCTCACAGCCAAGCAACAAGTCTTTCTTCTAAAGGCATAACAACAGCCAAGAAAAATTCGGGTGCTATTATCACTCAAATATATCTATTTTCTAGGACTGTTCTCAAAGAAGTAAGTAGGTACAAGAGAATCACTGAAGATTATAGAGAATGGAATAATATGATTGGAACTTCAGTTTTAGTTAGATTAATCTGAAAAGAGGATTTAGGGTAAAAAAGTAGAGGGAAACTAGAAGTGAAGAGTCCAGTTAAAATGCTACCATGTTAGTCTAGATAAAGTTTGTATTATGGCTTTTTGCATAACCTGGACAATTTATTCACAGGCACGTTTACCAGTACAATTCAGAAAAGTATTACGAACCAGTCAAAACTAACAAAAATATATTCACTTTGAAATGTACATGTAACAACTGCATTTGTGAAGAACACCACAAAAAGTAATGAAAATAATGGTGTTTCTAAGGCATTCAGACTATCTTACAAGACAAAGGGCTAAGGTCAGCATTCCCAATGCTTTGAAAAGCATAAAATCTTACGAAGAATTGTATTTTCAATTCATGAATTTTCCATGTAGTCAATTATAATTAAAAACAAAACTTTAAAAAATAATAAAAATTTTTACAAAAAGAACTTTCAATTTAACATTCAGGACACCACTGAGCAAACAGCAGGTACTCAATAATTACTGAATTAAATTCTTTGGTTCATATTTGTGAGATAATTCATGGTGACCTAATGGAAATTAGGCTACAGATTTAATAGTAAGTCAAAAAGATATTTTAAAATCTTCTTTTTTCTATCTCTGTCAGTTTTCCAAGAAATGTAACTTCAGGAGAAAACTTTTAAGGCTATCTGGTATAGAAGGGTAGCTGTTCTGACTTCTCAGACATACAGTTCATTCATATTATTTCTGAACTGCAAAAATACAGTTTTTACATTTGAAATTGGCTAACAAAACACAGTAATAATATGCTTTGATCATCTTCCTTGAGTATGCCATTAAACTTCCAGAATTTGTAGCTCTAATAACTCTTATTGCTCAACCAAAAGCCCAACTATATTATTTAGCTCTGCATATTTGACTATTCTTTCTTCTTTGCAATTCAATCTATAAAGACTTAAGACAAATCCTAATTTATAATGAGCTAAAACACACTTTAGTAACAACAAAAACAACCCACACGTGAACATGGAGACATACACATATGTCTTGTATTTTACTCTTTGAATTGATCTGTTTTTAAATTATACCTTCTAAAAGGAACAAAACAGATATATAAAGATTAAAACGGTATGAATTACTATAACCTTAACAAGCATCCCTGTTACTTATAATTTGCAAGCATACCAAAAGACCCTCAATTTTATAAATGCAAGTCTACTAGAGCTAGCTAATAACATTGAGAATTCAATGAAATATACTGGTATGAGGGTTTAAAACTGTAAATTAAAATATTCTAGAGATGGAAACTATAGTCACTACAGATGTTCTAAATGCTTATAAAATCTCTTATCCTTCTCAACACACATGCCTAGATTCTAATTCCTCATTAAATTAAATGTCCAAAATTTTTAGAAGGCAATTTTGTTTTTGTCTCATGTTGTTTTTTAACAACTACTGCTAAATGCATAAATTTTACTCTCAATAACCACTTTTATAGTAGCCTATAACTCTCCTTTTGGTAGATCATATAACTTTCAACTTCCTTGGCAATCATTTGGCTTAAAACAAAGGACAGGAAATTTTAAACATTAAGAATATGCCAAAACAGGGCTGGCCGAGTGGCTCATTGGTGAAGAGTTGGCTTGGGAGCGTGAGCTCTGAGCAGCAGGGCCGTGAGTTTGAATCCCATATGAGGGCCAGTGACACTGTACCCTCTACAGCTAAGATGGTGAACAACAGCTCAACCTGGAGCTGGGCTGCCCTGAGTCGCCGGAGGCGGTGTAGGCTGCAGCGGGGCTCCAGTGGGCTACGGTGAGCTACCGTGAGTGGCCAGCAGCCAGCGTGAGCTGCCAAGAGCCGCCGTGAGCGGCTGTCCAATGGCCAGCGACCAATCTGCCTCAGCCAGGAAGAGTGCAATGATCACAATACCAACATGGGCCAGTGAAGTGACGTCCTCTACAACTAGACTGAAGAACAAAAGGACAGCAACTTGTCTGTTCCCCTTCCCCGATTCCCCAATAAAATCTTTAATAAAAAAATAAATAAATACAAAAGAATATGCCAAAAAAAAAAGAATTATCATAACAAAGTATAATTAACTAAAGCTCTTACCCAGAGGCTTTGGATAATATTTTCTTTCAAAAGAAATCATTGCACAGAAATTAGCTTGAGGATAATGTGTGTTTTTTTGTTTTGTTTTTTTCTCATTCTGTTTTGTTTTTTGTCACTAGTTGAACTAGGCCTCAGCTCTTATCCTTTCTTTTATTCCCCCAAATATTTCTGAAACAAACTGGGCCATCCTAGATAAACATGTCATGCCTAACTGCAGAGAAACTTCTAAGTCTTAAAAAAATCAGAGGCACCATGTTCATAGCAGCATTATTCACAACAGCCAAAAGGGGGAAGTAACACAAGTGTCCATTGACAAATGATGAGTGAATAAACAAAACATGGTCTCTATAGTACATAAGATGGACTATTATTCAGCCTTAAAAGGAAGGAAATTCTGACATATGCTACGACATTGACGAACCTTGAGGGCATTATGCTAAACAAATGAGCTAAACACAAAAAGACAAATACTATATGATTCCACTTATATGAGGAACTTAAGAGTCAGATTCATAGGAACAGAAAGTAGAATGGTGGTTACCAGGGGCTGGGCGAAGGGAAGTGAGGATTGTTGAATAGGTAGAGACTTTCATTCAGTTTTGCAAGATGAGAGTTCTAGAGACTTTGCACAACCATGAAAATACACTTAACACTACTGAACTTTATACTAAAAAACGGTAAATTTTACAGTATGTATATTTTACCAAAATTATTGAAAAGTTAAGGAAAGGGTTCCAGTTCCAGGGATGGTGGAACAGCTTATACCACACTAACCTTCCTATAGAAAACAATTAGAAACTCTGGAAAAACAAACAAAAAAAACTAAATAACTATTTAAAGGCACCAAGAACAACCAAAGTGGGTAGAAACTGAAGACAAATCTTGAAAGAAGGGACTAGCACTAGGTACAATTCACGTTTATACAACTTCCCCCTTAAGGTCTTCAATGGTCCTAGACGTACAAGGCAGTTCAAACTCAGATGAATCAACTGTTTTATTGTTTTTTTGGTTTTTCTAAAGATATCAAAAAACAAAGTCAAGTGCTGCCAAAGCAGCTGGAAATGAAGGCAGGGAATACCAAAAAGGATAAAGCCACAAAACCTGGGTACAAACTCTCATACCAGTTGCTGACCCTAAACTACACATGCATGGAGGTAAGACTACAAGAGCCGTGGAAGGCTGAAACAGCCGGGAGGCTAAGAGAGCTGAGCAGACTTCAACTGCGGTCTACCACAGGGAGACAGGTTGGAGCTGGAGTTCTGCCAAGTTAGAGGTATAACCACGGGCTTTCCACTGAAACTGTGGAAGGACCATGAAATAGATGACTTAAATAGATGAGAATCCCAGGACTATGGGGTTTACTTTAGACTAAGGACAAAAGCCAAAGACACTCATCCTAAAAAAATGTATAACCAAATATCTTCATGGTGATCACTTGAAAATTAAACTGCACAATAGAGCAAAAACTAATATTCTTCAGAGGAAGATAACAGAATCTAGGATGCCTAGAAAGTAGCATTTACATTGTTCTGTACACAGTCAAAAATAACTAGACCTGAGAAGAAACCTAAAAAAGTTAACACATAGTTAAGAGAAAAAGCAATCAATAGAAACCAACCCCAATATGGCCCAGATGTTGGAACACTGGTACTTTAAAGTAGCTATTATAAATACGTCCAAGGGGCTGGCTGAGTGACTCAGTGGGTTAAGAGCTCACTCAAGAGTGCGAGCTCTGAGCAACAAGGTCACTGGTTTGATTCCTGGCCTGAGCTGAGCTGCTGCTGAGCTGCTAACAGGTGGCAGGATGGCCCAGCTAATTAATAAATAAATAAATAAATAAATGAATAAATAAATAAATAAATAAATATGTCGAAGAAATTAAAGATAAAGATGATCATAAATGACAGATGGAGAAATCTCAGCAGAGAAGCAGGAACTGCAAAAAAGAACCATAGAAATTCTAGACATGAAAAGTATAATATTTGAAATAAAAAATTTGTTGGATGTACTTAACTACATGAGGCAAATTTTCTGTGATGATAGAAATGTTCTTTATTTTGATGAAGATAGTGGTTACATGGTTATATGCATTTCTGAAAATTAATGAATTGTACACTTAAGATTTGTGCATTTCGAAGTATGTCAACCTTCCCTCCATAAAAGCAATTAAGAATTACTTTTTTTATGATTAGTTTCAGGTGTAAGGATTACTTTTTAAAACCATGATTTTGAGATTATGAATAATAAAAGTCAAATTTTAAATTCAGTAAGTTTTATCAAAGTCATCATACTTTAACTACTACTATAACAGAAATATTTTAAAAATTTAATTATAGTCCCCAAAGTCCTAAAATTCTATGATACTGTTACTATAGGCAGAAAGAACAGGGCCGTAGGGAGAGAGGAGGGAGAAAGGGAAGGAGAAAGTGTGTGTGTGTGTGGGGGGGGGGGATCAAAAAAAGAGGGGATGAGGTCATTCTTAAGAAAAGATGCAGCTACAGCTAATTGTAATGAATTATAATACTATTACCACTGCAGGCAGGAAAAAAATCTCTACCCCCTGTGTCGCCATGACAGTTTGACAAGGGCCAAGTAAAAACAAAAAAATCCCTCCTCCCAAAGGGAAGGCGTGGTCAATGGAGACCTGCCCTGGGAATGCCTGTAAAGCCACCCCAGAATATTTCACATCATCATTCAAATATAATCCTAAATTTCTTTGTTCTTTGGGGCAGTTGCCCTTTTTCCTGGGTCTGTCCACTCCTGCATTTTGGGAGTGTCTTCTTTTTCATCTCTTTTTTTTTAGCTGAGCCATCCTGCCACCTGTTGGCAGCTCAGTGGCAGCTCAGCTCGGGCAGGGCATCGAACTGCTGTTGCTCAGAGCTCAAACTCTTGAGCGAGCTCTTAACCAACTGAGCCACTCGGCCAGCCCTCTTTTTCTTTAATAAATCCTCTGCTTCAGCTTGCTTGGCTTTCTTTATTTATACATCCTAGACGTCTTCCTGTGATGATACAAGAACCCTTGTTCTCCAGTAACAGAACCACATGATTTCTAACTGTCTCTGCACTCACACAGTATTTATCTTCAAATTTTAATGTGACAAGTAAAACATACTTGCTTTTGTATCACTTATTTAGTTCTTTCTTAACTTCATATCTATCATGTATTCACCTGAAAAACTCAGACCTTTTTTTCTGCACATATAACTGAAATTGTCAGTGTTTTCAGAACTTTGATTTTAAAAATCACTTTTTAAACTTTAACTTGATCAAAATGTGTTACCTTTTAAACTTTAACATTTGTAATTACACTTATTTATTCCAATTTCTATATATGTAACAATACTGTACCCTCCACAATCCCCCATCCAACCTTCCGTAATACAAATTTCACCTATATGTCCTTCATTCTTTTGTAACATTGACCACTATCCCTTAATTTGGTTAATTGATTTGTCCATCAGTGAATCTGAGTGCATTTATTCCCAACACACCTTCTCTAAAAGAAGAAAATATTTCTTGAAAAGTATTTTAGGGAATAGAAAACAGATCCTTGCTTCATATGGTAGAACTAGCTCTACACGGCTCACTAGCTTCATGTGACCTGGAAATTCCTACTTAATAAAACATTTAAATCCCATTCATTCTATTAAAACATGAATGTATTTATTTAGTCATCAAATAAAAATTCATGAAGAGAAAATCCTAATGCTATACACAGACAAGAAGGACAGATAAATTTGCTAGAGGTTATTATTTTACTTTTGGAACACAATGAATTGCTTTACCTGATAATTATATACTCTCATTTAATCCTTACCTTCTTTTAGAGCTTTATCCATATTATGAGAAATTACTACCCTTCTAGACTGAAGTGACTCATGTGAGTTTCCATACACAGGACTCTGAAATTTAAGAAACAGAAAGAAAAGATATAGATTATTGAATTAATAAATCACATTTAAAAAACCCCAAAGGTATGAAATATTGCACTAAGATATTGTTTATCAGATTATAAAGTTCTTTTGGAAAGTAAATAAATATTTAATGTTAGTTAAGAAAATTTTGGGGGGGAAAAAAAAAAAGGAAGGATTTTTTTCCTTTTCAGATATGATGCAAGTGTAGGAATAAACAAATCAACAAGAAAGGTAGAAAAGTACAAAAACAGATGCAAAATGTTTGGAAGCATATACACCAAACTATTAAATGTGTTTTTTTCTAAGCAAGGCCATATGATTTTAACTTCTTACTCCATTGTCTATGTAACAGCACATTTTTAAATTTTTAATTGTAAAAAGATACTGCTTGGCAAAAATAAAATAGTGAGAGACAATGTACAGAATTAAAATCCCACGATCTGGCTAGTAAGACTACATTAAAGAGGAAGAATTTTTAATTGATCACATACTGAAATGATCAAAAGCATGTATAATAATAATTGAGCCCACTTAATGATTTTGGAGGATAAAAGGTAATTAAGTAATGTTAACAAAATGTGGGGTGTTTTTTTTGCATGGCATATATTACAAGTGCTTGACTAGCATTACCACATCACTAAGGTGATCTAAACAGCTAATATTACTATCACCCTCATCCAACAAACAAGCCTGAGAAAATCACTTTCTTCTCAGGCAGGGCACCTCAACACAGCTGCAATCAACCCCTTGACCCTGGGCCACCTAACCGGGAGTAGAATTTCTATTCCCTGGCTTAGTTTCATGCTATCCATTGGGGTCAAGTGACAAAAGCTGTCATCCGTTTTCATGATCACTGTTATTGAAAAACAAAAAAAATCCAGTTTTAAGATTCCTTAGCTGAAATACTTTTAAAAGCCTTAAGATGTACATGTTGTACTCACATAAAAATTCCTTTATGCTACAAATTAATATATAACATACAACACTTTCCCAAAGGAATAATAATTTTAAAAAACCTTAAATATTGGGTTGTCGGAAGAATCATGACGCATTTTTACAATGAAAAACATAGAAAAAAATACATCATGACTTTTCTGACAACCCAATAATTAGAATCCTATAGAAAAATACCATTTAATGCATAAAAGAAATACATTCTCCACCATTAAAACTATTTTCTAGTCTCTGTGTAGCTTGCTATAAAATTAAATGGTCAGTACATTTTATAATAATTTTTAATTTTTTAATTTAGTTTGTGAAAGAAAAAATTGAGGAGAGGAATTTTAAAATTCTAATGCTTTTTAGAACATCAGGCAGATATTTAAACAATTTATAGTGGTTTTTTTAAGAAAATTTTTAAATTGAGTTACTACTTTTACAGTGCTACACTGGTAAATAACTTGAATCACAATTCCTCAGGCTTTTGGCAAATAGTCTGAGATAGTCTCCCAAATATAGATATCGTAGTTTCAGTGTGCAACACTAATCGGATGCTAAAATGAGAGCCAAACAACATTGACTTGAGAAGTTCCAGAATTTGGGTTCTTAAAATGGGAACTGTCTTGAAGGGCTGGGAGAGAAGCAGGTTTGAATGTGACTGACAGGCAGCACATGCATATTTAAGCACATTCTGTGCTTATGTGTCAAAACTTACTTTATTCTTACATTTTACCCTTTTTTTTGTCTCCCTAATCACAGCTCTACTACTACTTACCATCTGTCTGCATATTTCTTTTCTCTCTCTGCTTCATACTTAGATGTAGTACATATATATATACACGTTTGTCACTACTGACTGTATCTGAATAAGGCCTTTACTCTCTTTAATTCAAAAGCTTATGAGAGTAACGTTTTCCATTTTGGCTCTTTAAATAAAAGCCCTATTATTTTTTCAATCTTATTTTCCTGTCTGGTTTTGGATTTCCCCATCCCCACCCCCACCCCCCCCGAGGTCACTGGCTCTTATTAGAAAGAAAAGGGTTCTTCCTCCCTATTCTATCCCACAGCCTGATGGAGTCTGTAAGTAAGGAGAGCAGGAAGATGACAGAAAACATGATGGGTCAAAAGTAACTGGGGCACTAGGCATGGAAATTCCTTTTTTAATGATTTAATATTTATGGAGCCAGAATCTCATGTCTAAATGACTACACGAGTTTAAGCTAGTCACGACATACTTCATTTCTTTCTGATCACAAAGATGTAACTTACCAATCATTATCCCAAGGTGGAGAAAGAAAACAAAAGGAAAGAGAGAAAGGGACGGAGGGAAAGGAAAGGAAAGAAGAAAAAGAAGACAGGGAGAAAGAAAAGGGGAAAGGGAGAAAGCCAGCTAGCTAAAGCAAATGCAAAATGTGAATAGATTCCTGTGACCCAGGGGATAGTGAGCAAAAATTGTCTTCATTCTCCTTTTATTCGTAGGTTTGGAAAAAATAAAAACTTCACACGGCAGAGACTTCCCCAGAAGACGTGTTCTTTTTAAGGCAAATGCTAAGTTCCCCTCTCTACACTAACATAGACAATCATCCTCCTAAAATGCTGGTTTTAGGAAAGATGAAAGAAAAATGTGTGCTCTTCCCACTGTCACAAAGGATAAGTGACAGAAATCTTCAATATCCTAATCCAGAAATCAGGACTTCAAATGGAGCCTGACCAGTGAGCTCTTGTGTTAAGTTTATGATATTCATATCACACTATTCACTCATAAAAGCTTTTGGTAAACCAGTATTCCTTGACATGTAAAAAAGTACACCTTATTTTTAATTTAATTAAAATAAATGAAACCTGTCTTCATTTTAAGATTTTTAAATCAACTTGTAAAGATCATTTTTAATCACTTAGTGAGTTCTCTGGAGAGAAAATGAGAGGTTTCAACATATAATTGTTTATTTTAAAAATGTTTTCCCAAATCAGACAAAACCTGCAAGCTTTTCTCTAATACATGTAACTAGATCCTCAGTGTCAGAGAGTAGACGCCATATCAATAAACCCTTTCCTGAGTACATCTCAGCTTTCTGTTTATTCCTGAGTATCAGCTTTTAGTCTATAGCCATAACACACTCCAATTGTCTTTGTCAGAGCTAAAGGCACCCTCTCCTGAGGAAACAACTCCCTGATAGAATCCGTGCAGAGACCTGGGTACTCTGACACCATTAGCAACTAAGCCACCAGGAACTGTCTGAAATCTGGCCAAGACATACACCTCATTGTCCATTGTTTATAAATATGACATTGCTCACTGTGTTGCTTCCAGTGCGAGCACAGATGGGCCTCGGACAGCCAATCTATGACTTGTACTTCCTTTCATGCCCATTACCTGGACTACTCAAATAAACAAGTGCCTCTGTCTTTCATTATATACTAATACATTTAAAAATTTTTAAATGTATTTCAATTTTTAAATGTATTTCAGTTTATTTTTTAAAAAGAAAAACAATTGTACAGAGCTGAAGGAAGATGGGTGTAATTTCCTTTAAAGCTATTGAAATAAAAAAATGTGTATTTCACAAAAAAAATAATTTTTTAAAAAAAAGCTATTGAAATAGTGATTTATCCTAGGAAAACAAACACAAACCCTCAATCATCATCCTTAACCACGTGGAGCTGTCATATGGCTGAGCTTTTCCAAATACTCTCAGTAGCTCATCATCTACCGGGATCCCATGACTAATATTCTCATACTTGAACTATGTTATTCTCAAAACCATGGCTCCTTTGAAACCAGTCATGTTCTGTTTCAACCTCAAAAAATAATTTATTCAAAACCAAAACGATAAAGGAATCCCACATATTCTTCCTCAGGAATATAAAAAGGGAATAAGAAACATGAAATGCCATCTCATTTGAATAAGATTGACATAAGCAATAAGTCATGCCCAACATGGAAACCGAGTAGCCATGTTACAGGGCTGTAAGGGCGGCAAGGCAGAGTGGAAAGAACATCGGCTCCCATGTCCAGTAGGACTTTTTTACTAATGGTAGATCCTTGACCCAGCCACTTCCCTCTCTAGCTTCAGTGGATTTATAACACTTCAGAGGACTAAATAAAGTAACTAATATCAGGAGTCCAAAAAAGAAAAAAGACAACATGAGCTTGGTAAGGAATATAAATGAGTTTAAGGGGGTTGCTACTGCTATACTGGTAGGTGTTCCAATTCCTTTCAATAAAAAATGAAAATCAAGGGCCGGCCGAGTGGCGCGATGGTTAAGA